AGTATGACATTATATATCTGATATATAGACATATATTATATAGATATAATATATGTCTATATATCATATTTATACACATATATAATTTTTTTAATTTTTTTTATTAACACTAACTTTATTTTTTTTACTGATTTTACACTAGCAGGGAGACTGCCTGTCAGCACAGGCATTCCCCCTGCAGGCAGACACATGGACACCTATTGTGACCATGTGATCGCTGTGTTAAGCGATCACATGGCCACAGGGGTCCTAATTCAGTGTGGGGAGACTGTCTGGGCTGCAGGCAGTCTCCCCACAACTGGAGCCACGCTGATCGCCGCCGGGGGAACGACGGCGATCAGGTAAGTAACTCAGACCGTTAGGACGGTTCAGGACCGTCCATTTCCACTTTGTGGATTCTTTAAAAACAGTGCTGTGCATTGCTACATTGCTGCAGATAGAGACACAAACATCGCATCTGCCATAAATGTCTAATTATTATTTTATCATTGTGACTGACAGGACCCATTCTGATGTGGCCGTATCATTTAAAGGTGTGGATGTATTTTTTAAGATGTTTTGTCTCTGCTGTTATGGCGAAGAAGAAAAAAAGAAGCCTTTTTTTCCTGGAAATACACTGTGTAATTTAATCCTAAAGTATTCAGACACTTCCTTTAATAACACGTTTGGATAGCGCAGGTTGGCAAAATGTAAGCAAAAATCAGCTTCCTTGGATTTATCGTGATGGAGGTCTGCAATTTAAAAGGCACCCCGGACCCGAAAGCAGTTTATTTTGCTGAATTGCTTTATACATGAAGAGTGTGTCCTCTTTTTCTCATTTTACAAAAACTTCAAATTTCAATAAAAATTTACACTTTTATAAATGAACCTTGTTACACTCCCCCCCATCCTCCGCCCAGCTGTTAATCAGACACCCGGTCCTGTTACTTCCTGGTTTGGTTAGCTCAGGGGAGATAAACTCAAGAGGCCACGATTGCCCAGAGCACCTGGTTTGCAAAGACTTCTCATTGAGCTGCATTGGGAAGTCTGTGATTGGACAGACACAGAGAGTCTGGGCGGGGCTAGAAGGGGAGGCAGCGGCGTACATACCGTGGTCGCAGCGGTCGCAGCTGCGACCTGGCCCAGCACTCCAGGTGGCCATGGCCCACGCGGCAAAACGCCTGGGCCGCATATGGAGGGGTCCATCGGGTGGCCCATGCTGTCAGGGCCACCCGATGGATATGGATTGTGAGGGGGCCTGGTCTGCGCTGGGTGCTTTAAGAGTGCTACCGGGCCCCCTGTGATTACATCATCGCTGGGAGGAAGTGATTCCCAGGTCACTCCTCCCAGCATACTGAGAGCCCGCGCGGGAGGAAGGAGGTGGAGGAGGGAGTCAGAGTGGGAACTCTGACTCCCATCAGGCTGAGCCCCCACTGGACCCCGGGGAAAGTCACAAGGTAGGAAACATTTTGTGTATGTGTGTGTGTTTCTCTGTGTGTATGTGTGTGTCTCTGTATGTGTCTGTGTCTATGTATGTGTGTGTGTGTCTCTGTATTTATGTGTGTGTGTCTCTGTATGTGTATGTGTGTGTGTGTCTCTGTATGTGTGTGTGTCTGTGTCTCTGTATGTATGTGTGTGTGTGTCTCTGTGTGTGTGTGTGTGTCTCTGTATGTGTGTCTCTCTGTATGTGTGTCTGTGTCTCTCTGTATGTGTGTGTGTCTCTGTATGTACGTGTGTGTGTCTATGTATGTAGTGGCGTACACACAATCCATGGGGCCCCGTATGTATGTGTCTGTGTCTAAGTATGTATGTGTGTCTGTGTCTGTATGTGTGTGTGTCTATGTATGTGTGTATGCCTGTGTCTCTGTATGTATGTATGTGTGTGTGTCTGTATGTATGTGTCTGTCGAGGGATGTATGTGTGTGTGTGTGTCTGTCTGTGTGTATGTTTGTGTGTGTGTCTGTATGTATGTATGTGTCAAGGTGACGGGGGGGGCAAGGATCGGGGGAGAGAAGGTGGGGGGGGCACACGGATCAGTTTTGCATCGGGTCGCCATGGATTGTGTGCACGCCACTGAGGGGAGGGCTTACATAGGTTACAGACAAGAGATCTGTAGCTATTACAAGCTGGTTTTATACTCCAAATGTAAAGACGCATAATTAAATGGTTGCATGTCTACTAAACAGTGATTTTTGGGGTGTGTATTTAAGTAGTGGATAGTCCCTTTAATCCTTGTTCTGATAGTGAAACGAGTGTAAGGAGTTTTGGCAACGTGCTACAAATGATATATTTTTTAACAACTGATGTGATTTAATAGTCTGTTCTGTGTGTGGAGCGCTCCCTTTACAATAAGAATTACATTTTGTTTTAACAGCAAAAATCTGAGAATGTCAGCCCTCGCATGATTATTTCATTTACAAATTCTATCATATTTTGTGAAGATTTGTAAAAGTGTACTAGATCCAGATTCAGTTTAATTTATATATAAATAAAGCATCATAAGGGATCCTGTAGCTACATGACAGTGTTCTAATTTAGAATAACCAATGTGACTGTCCCTTCGGCAGTTAGTATGACCTGTTAATGCTAGCACAGATATCGCCCGGTCCCTTCGGCAGTTAGTATGACCTGTTAATGCTAGCACAGATATCGCCCGGTCCCTTTGGCAGTTAGTACGACCTGTTAATGCTAACACACATATTGCCCGGTCCCTTCGGCAGTTAGTACGACCTGTTAATGCTAGCACAGATATCGCCCGGTCCCTTTGGCAGTTAGTACGACCTGTTAATGCTAGCACAGATATCGCCCGGTCCCTTCGGCAGTTAGTATGACTTGTTAATGCTAGCACAGATATCACCCAGTCCCTTTGGCAGTTAGTATGACCTGTTAATGCTAGCACAGATATCGCCCAGTCCCTTCGGCAGTTAGTATGACCTGTTAATGCTAGCACAGATATCGCCCGGTCCCTTCGGCAGTTAGTACGACCTGTTAATACTAGCACAGATATCGCCCGGTCCCTTTCGGCAGTTAGTACGACCTGTTAATGCTAGCACAGATATTGCCCGGTCGCTCTGGCATTTAGTATGACCTGTTCATGCTAGCACAGATATCACCCGGTCCCTTCGGCAGTTAGTATGACCTGTTAATGCTAGCACAGATATCGCCCGGTCCCTTTGGCAGTTAGTACGACCTGTTAATGCTAACACAGATATCGCCCGGTCCCTTTGGCAGTTAGTACGACCTGTTAATGCTAACACAGATATTGCCCGGTCATTTCGGCAGTTAGTACGACCTGTTAATGCTAGCACAGATATTGCCCGGTCGCTTTGGCAGTTAGTATGACCTGTTAATGCTAATACAGATATTATCCCGGTCCCTTCGGCAGTTAGTATGACCTGTTAATGCTAATACAGATATTATCCCGGTCCCTTCGGCAGTTAGTATGACCTGTTAATGCTAGCACAGATATCGCCCGGTCCCTTTGGCAGTTAGTACGACCTGTTAATGCTAACACAGATATCGCCCGGTCCCTTTGGCAGTTAGGACGACCTGTTAATGCTAACACAGATATCGCCCGGTCATTTCGGCAGTTAGTACGACCTGTTAATGCTAGCACAGATATTGCCCGGTCGCTTTGGCAGTTAGTATGACCTGTTAATGCTAGCACAGATAACGCCCGGTCCCTTTGGCAGTTAGTATGACCTGTTAATGCTAACACAGACATCTCCCGGTCCCTTTGGCAGTTAGTACAACCTGTTAATGCTAGCACAGATATCGCCTGGTCCCTTCGGCAGTTAGTATGACTTGTTAATGCTAGCACAGATATCACCCAGTCCCTTCGGCAGTTAGTATGACCTGTTAATGCTAGCACAGATATCGCCCAGTCCCTTCAGCAATTAGTACGACCTGTTAATGCTAGCACAGATATCGCCTGGTCCCTTTGGCAGTTAGTACGACCTGTTAATGCTAGCACAGATATCGCCCGGTCCCTTTGGCAGTTAGTATGACCTGTTAATGCTAACACACATATTGCCCGGTCCCTTCGGCAGTTAGTACGACCTGTTAATGCTAGCACAGATATCGCCCGGTCCCTTTGGCAGTTAGTACGACCTGTTAATGCTAGCACAGATATTGCCCGGTCCCTTCGGCAGTTAGTATGACTTGTTAATGCTAGCACAGATATTACCCAGTCCCTTTGGCAGTTAGTATGACCTGTTAATGCTAGCACAGATATCGCCCAGTCCCTTCGGCAGTTAGTATGACCTGTTAATGCTAGCACAGATATCGCCTGGTCCCTTCGGCAGTTAGTATGACCTGTTAATGCTAGCACAGATATCGCCTGGTCCCTTCGGCAGTTAGTATGACCTGTTAATGCTAACACAGATAACACCGGTCCCTTTGGCAGTTAGTACGACCTGTTAATAGTAGCACAGATATCGCTCGGTCCCTTCGGCAGTTAGCATGACTTGTTGATATCTAGCACAGATATCACCCGGTCCCTTTGGCAGTTAGTACAACCTGTTAATGCTAGCACAGATATCGCCCGGTCCCTTCGGCAGTTAGTATGACCTGTTAATGCTAGCACAGATATTATTCCGGTCCCTTCGGCAGTTAGTATGACCTGTTAATGCTAGCACAGATATCGCCCGGTCCCTTCGGCAGTTAGTACGACCTGTTAATGCTAGCACAGATATTATTCCGGTCCCTTCGGCAGTTAGTATGACCTGTTAATGCTAGCACAGATATCGCTCGGTCCCTTCGGCAGTTAGTATGACCTGTTAATGCTAGCACAGATATCGCCCGGTCCCTTCGGCAGTTAGTACGACCTGTTAATACTAGCACAGATATCGCCCGGTCCCTTTCGGCAGTTAGTACGACCTGTTAATGCTAGCACAGATATTGCCCGGTCGCTCTGGCATTTAGTATGACCTGTTCATGCTAGCACAGATATCACCCGGTCCCTTCGGCAGTTAGTATGACCTGTTAATGCTAGCACAGATATCGCCCGGTCCCTTTGGCAGTTAGTACGACCTGTTAATGCTAACACAGATATCGCCCGGTCCCTTTGGCAGTTAGTACGACCTGTTAATGCTAACACAGATATCACCCGGTCATTTCGGCAGTTAGTACGACCTGTTAATGCTAGCACAGATATTGCCCGGTCGCTTTGGCAGTTAGTATGACCTGTTAATGCTAATACAGATATTATCCCGGTCCCTTCGGCAGTTAGTATGACCTGTTAATGCTAATACAGATATTATCCCGGTCCCTTCGGCAGTTAGTATGACCTGTTAATGCTAGCACAGATATCGCCCGGTCCCTTTGGCAGTTAGTACGACCTGTTAATGCTAACACAGATATCGCCCGGTCCCTTTGGCAGTTAGTACGACCTGTTAATGCTAACACAGATATCGCCCGGTCATTTCGGCAGTTAGTACGACCTGTTAATGCTAGCACAGATATTGCCCGGTCGCTTTGGCAGTTAGTATGACCTGTTAATGCTAGCACAGATAACGCCCGGTCCCTTTGGCAGTTAGTATGACCTGTTAATGCTAACACAGACATCTCCCGGTCCCTTTGGCAGTTAGTACAACCTGTTAATGCTAGCACAGATATCGCCTGGTCCCTTCGGCAGTTAGTATGACTTGTTAATGCTAGCACAGATATCACCCAGTCCCTTCGGCAGTTAGTATGACCTGTTAATGCTAGCACAGATATCGCCCAGTCCCTTCAGCAATTAGTACGACCTGTTAATGCTAGCACAGATATCGCCAGGCAGTTAGTATGACTTGTTAATGCTAGCACAGATATCACCCAGTCCCTTCGGCAGTTAGTATGACCTGTTAATGCTAGCACAGATATCGCCCAGTCCCTTCAGCAATTAGTACGACCTGTTAATGCTAGCACAGATATCGCCTGGTCCCTTTGGCAGTTAGTACGACCTGTTAATGCTAGCACAGATATCGCCTGGTCCCTTTGGCAGTTAGTACGACCTGTTAATGCTAGCACAGATATCGCCCGGTCCCTTTGGCAGTTAGTATGACCTGTTAATGCTAACACAGATATCGCCCGGTCCCTTCGGCAGTTAGTACGACCTGTTAATGCTAGCACAGATATCGCCCGGTCCCTTTGGCAGTTAGTACGACCTGTTAATGCTAGCACAGATATTGCCCGGTCCCTTCGGCAGTTAGTATGACTTGTTAATGCTAGCACAGATATTACCCAGTCCCTTTGGCAGTTAGTATGACCTGTTAATGCTAGCACAGATATCGCCCAGTCCCTTCGGCAGTTAGTATGACCTGTTAATGCTAGCACAGATATCGCCTGGTCCCTTCGGCAGTTAGTATGACCTGTTAATGCTAGCACAGATATCGCCTGGTCCCTTCGGCAGTTAGTATGACCTGTTAATGCTAACACAGATAACACCGGTCCCTTTGGCAGTTAGTACGACCTGTTAATAGTAGCACAGATATCGCTCGGTCCCTTCGGCAGTTAGCATGACTTGTTAATGCTAGCACAGATATCACCCGGTCCCTTTGGCAGTTAGTACAACCTGTTAATGCTAGCACAGATATCGCCCGGTCCCTTCGGCAGTTAGTATGACCTGTTAATGCTAGCACAGATATTATTCCGGTCCCTTCGGCAGTTAGTATGACCTGTTAATGCTAGCACAGATATCGCCCGGTCCCTTCGGCAGTTAGTACGACCTGTTAATGCTAGCACAGATATTATTCCGGTCCCTTCGGCAGTTAGTATGACCTGTTAATGCTAGCACAGATATCGCCCGGTCCCTTCGGCAGTTAGTACGACCTGTTAATGCTAGCACAGATATTATTCCGGTCCCTTCGGCAGTTAGTACGACCTGTTAATGCTAGCACAGATATTATTCCGGTCCCTTCGGCAGTTAGTATGACCTGTTAATGCTAGCACAGATATCACCCGGTCCCTTCGGCAGTTAGTATGACCTGTTAAAGGCAGCACAGGAATAATATGCTGAATATGAATTAAGACTTTCTGAAAGCAACATGAAGGGTTCTCTCACAATGTCTACTAATATCTTGTAGTCTGTTTGACATTGGAGTCTCCGTCAGAGTTCCAAGACTTAAGACACTTTATCCAAAGGAGGACTAGCCTATGTCATGGTTTGGGATGCCAATGAACCATGTTAATATAGGGAGTGTACATAAAAAGAAACAAATATTAGTATGTTCCTCGTATAAAAAGGAAACCCGGTCTAAAAAATGTTAAATGAAATAATGATACCAAGTTGATAGACACAGGAGTGTGACGAAAGCAACTTCGCCACTGGTTTTTGAAGGGGCCTGTTTGCCAGTGATTTTTGGATATGTTGTTCACCCAGCTCAGGGATATCAGGGGATGTGACTTTTGTGGGGATATGTTGTATTTTGGGGTACTTTTTGGGGTACTTTTGGGGGTTTGTAAAAATGTATGTTTTTTTTCTGCTTAGAGTTAATTGAGTTAGCCCATTGTCTTTGTTAATTGTATCACAGGCAGAGGGGAGGGTTTGTGTATAGTAACTGGGAGTGTTCAAGTGTAAAACTGTTTTTTTGGATTGTGAATTTTATGTCCTGTGCCCCACAAGGTCCACCTGGCCGGTAACCTTGTGGGGAAAAAAACTGTATAAAAGAGCAGCTGTACCATTAAACCTTCAGTTCTACTTGGCCTTCAACTCGCAGCCTCGACTCGTGTTTGGAGGGGACAGCTATAATCACTACAGGGATTGCAATGCTCTTCATACTCCCTTAGCTTCACTGAGCTCTTGTAAGAGCTTTTTCCTGCTCTCTGGATTAAGAGAGGTTCACCCACTGGAACCTGGAGCCTTGTCATAGGTCCAGGGTGGGTAGGAGATGGCAAGACCCCAACTAAGCTGTAGCGGTTTGTGGGGTCTGCGGTGGTTATGGTGTCTGGTGTGGTTCTGATGGTCCTTGGTAAGCACTAAGAGCGTCCTTCGACGGTCCAACCCTCAGCTAGCCTGGGGCAACCGTCACAAGGAGGTAAGCAACGGGTCAGCGTGTCAAAGGAACAAAGATTATCCCATGGTCCGCACAGAGATCGACTTCCACCAACAAAGATGGTGACCCAGAGCAAATAGAATGGGTCTGTTTACTCACAACATGCTCAAAGGAGTCAGAAAATAAGGGATGGAGTTTGAGTGAGTGGAGAAGGCAGTGACTGGGCATAGCTATACATCACATTCCTGGAGCCCATATATTTATAATGGGGAGGAACCATGCTCATGAAAGAAATGAGTATGGTCTCTGTGAAGGCATTGAGGTTTTATCCCTGAATGTGTTGGACCATAGAATACCAATTGGCATTGTGATGGCCAGCAATTCGCTACTCCCTAGAGTACAATGACAGTGCCAGCAAACGGCCGCTCACTAGGTGTATCAGTACAAAGCTGGGTCTTCATCAGAACATAACCAAAAATAAAATGAATTCTCTGTGAAACCTCCAACAGTAATAATGGCATTCAGAATAAACAAAACAATATGTGGAAAATAACCTATTTCTATGCTACGTTAACAAACATATAACTGACTTTGGGGAAGATACAATATTTTACTCGAAACTCACAGCAGATGAAATTAGCTGTTGTTTTTGTATTTTTGCTGATTTTTTCCCCATCAAAAGCTCTGATCATTATGTTTATGTATATAGCACAATGTGAACAGCGTCTGTTTTTCGCGCTAGATTGTAAAGCCTTTAGTTTCAGTGTTAAATTAATTATTCTTGTTGTATAATTACCGATGTTATTGTTGCATTGTAAGGCCCTCTGGATAAGTGTTTAAAGACTGTTAAATTATATAAATAATAAACTATTTTCGCAGATTCTCAGAAAACATTTGTCACCCAGCGCTGCCGCTACGTTCCGTTGCAAATAAACAAATACTAAGGTGTGCGTATTCCCTTGTTTCTGACATTGAATATTGCGGAGGGAGATAATAATGTGGATTCCTGGTGGGTATGGCCGTTACATGCAGTGTATATATATATATAGGTATTCATTTATGATTTATTATCCTTCCTGTCTGAATAACAAGCTTTTACTGGCCCGAGGGGAAACTCTGTTCAGACTCCTGCAGTTTAGCCATTTACATTTTTTCTTGCTGAATCTGATGTCGTTTAAGTTAATATGGCAGAATAAACACACGTGGGGCGTGTGGGGGGAGTGCAAGGAGAAGGTGCCATCTGCAAGGATTTAATGCTAGTCTTCTAATTCTGCATATTGAGTCTGAGGATGACGCCTCACGAGGTGTGGATATATATTTATCATTCCAATTTCTCTGTCTCAAGTGAATTCTCATATAGGAAAAATATAATGTAAATATTTCTGCATAATTAGTGTGAATTGTTAATGGTTAGAAGAATTATTTAATAATAAAAGATATTTGCGAGATTGAAATCAGAATCTCTTAGTACCTGCATTAGTGATTTATTGAACCCACAGCAGGCACACTAGGAGAACGATGGAGACTACTATGCTATTGGTAGTGGTGGTGGGGCGGTGAACAAGTCCACGGCCTGTGGTTTTCCAAATTCTATTCAGTAATGCAGCTACTGTAAATTGAAATTAATATCTACCTGTGTATGTACAAGGCATACGTTTATTAAAGGCTAAGGTCCAGTAAAGGTACATTTTGTTGGCACGGACCGACGGAAAGATGTGAGTAAATTTGGGAATGTGGGACAGGTTTCCAACTAGGTGTGTGCCTGGGGTAGCAGCCAGTAAGGAGAGGAGCATAGTGGGAGTAGGAGTCAGAAGGGGATATGGCGTGAATGCACCACTTTATCTACATCCTAGGTAGGTACGTCCTTACACCCAGAGTGTGATGGAAACAGTTTTCTAACTGTAAGGTCAGTCCCAGGGATTCTAAAGAGAGAACGGTAAGGTAAGTGGTTACAATGTCTAATGGCAGTGATGCTAACTCTTGGAACCTCAGATACGTGAGATCTACGTTGTCTTGGCCACCAGTGCACCATGGGATACCTTGCTCTGGTTAGTGAGACCCCAACTCTGGAAATCCAGGTTTATTAGGAGGAAAGTGTATTGAGAACATTTATTTACAGAAACTCTTTTTTTTTAAATCTTCTTTTCCAGGTATTTATGGCGAGAAAGAAAAAAAGGCCCTAATCAATACAGAGCAATAAG